AAAAAAAAAAAATTCAGGTAAACCAGTGGCTCACCTGGCTGGAGACGGCAGAGGAGGAGGAATCTGAGGACGACGCAGACTAAGCATCATGGCGTAGATCAACCGTATCTTATTGTTAGACTTGTGTTACCTTATTAAACTCCATGCTTAATTTAACCACTACGATGTGGCACTCGGCTGCTTGTCTCGCAAATATAAACCGAAAGCTTTTACCGACAGGGCCTCATGTGCTACCACCTGCACTGTGATGATGGGCTGAGAAGCATTGTTTAATCTGTTGCCTAATTTTCTGAGATCTGTTTCCTAATCAGCTACATGAATTCTAGAGTGGCTCAACCATGTATTTTTCTCAATTTGCTCCGTTAGGTTGTAACTTTATTTCACTGTATTGCTTTTTCTTACGGATTTAAACCTCCCCCAGATAGGAAACTGCTTTATGGTAAGAACATGTAGGATTTTCCTCTCTAAAATAAGACAAATCTTTCACGATCTTTGCTAATTCTAGTTACAAAGCAAACAACTAGAAATATTAACATAAGGTCTTGTCAGCAAGCTGCTTTTGTGATCTTCTATCAGGGCCTAGCCTGGATTGCTTTTTATCATACATGCTTAAAAACAGCACCGGGGATGTAGACAAACGGGCTGCACAGCGATCCTTCTCGTGAACCACACGTTAAACCTAGATGGCCCGCTGAAGTTGAATGAAGCACAAGCTGGCAAAACATTTCATGACTGATAAAGGTGTCTCTTATTCAACATGTGCTCACTAAATTCCCACTTTGTTTTTGTTTGTTTTTTTGTTTGTTTTTTAAAATAAGTGCTCTTCATAGTCCCTGATGATGAGCATGTTTTTTTTTGTTTTTTTTTTCTCATTAGCATTACTCTTTTTGTTCTGTCCTTTCTTCCTGTCTTTTTTTTTTTTATCATTATTATGAGTGGTTGCAATACCCATTCTCCAAATGTTACAATATTTAAAAAAGAAAAAAAATAAATCTGTAATCATTGGTTTGCTGTCGTCACGTTTCAAAGTTGCCTGTGTTTCTACCTCTTAGTTAGATGGGCTTTTTTTTTTTTTTCTTTTGTGCTGGGATAAAGAAATCCACTAAGAAGAATATTGAGCCCATGCAGATGCTGAAGTATTTGGTTTAATCCTGGCCTAATTGCACAATAAATGTATTGAAGCAGACATTAACAATGATGCCGTTGCATGTTTTACAAGTGTTAACATCTCATTAGGATTTTTTTTTTTTTAATTTCACCCACATGATGAAATGTGTACTTATCAAAAGAGTAATGTTGACTAGATTTTGAAGCGGCCCTGATGAGGTTGGTTTTTATATTGAGGGCTCAAAATAATAAATGTTAGATTTGTCTGGCTCTTAAATTGGCAAACTATAAATTGTAATTGATTTCCCTTCTAAAGCTAAACAAATGACCATCAGGCTTAACCAAGAATTGTACTCTCAAGCCATGATTATGTCTAAGACATATGATTAGGGTCTTATTGTAAGGTATTCAGAATTATTGTGCACCTCTATTGCTTTAATGTCAATAAAGTCAGTACATGAGCACCTACTGTTTACCTGTATTTACTCTGCTTTACAGTTACATATTCCATCTGTCCAATAAAATACTTCACACTTGAACAACAGTCTGAATCTTCCAAGCAGCAGCTCTACTGGAGTGCTTTGATTTTCCCAGGAGCATGTGGTTACATTTGTGGTCAGTCCTGATCTGTGGGAATCCAGAAGTATTCCACCACCTTCCTGCTTCTGCGCAGAGGGCCTGAGTCGGGTCGCTCTCCTCCATAGGCAGGCAGCTCATCAAAGTGACTCGGACCCAGATCTCTCCCCATGTGTGGTGCTGTCACCCTGAGCATGGTCCTGAGTGAATACAGTTCACAATTAATTCTTAATAGTGGTCTTCAACCAGAGAAAAGCTTTACACTTACCTATTTGCCTTCACGTTTTTGTAAATTAGAATTTTAATCTTATGTTGCTACCATATCTGAACGATTGTAGTTTGTGTGGCTTCCCCCTGGTGGCCAAAGTTTTTGTTTACCTAGATGAACTCCTTTCAGGCTCTTCAACGCTGGACTCTGGAGTGGAGATGTATACAGGATCTCCTTCCTGAACAAAAACCATAACATAAGCTTCTGATTTACTTTTTAAATGTCCTGTATTGTAGACCTAGACATGCACAGCTCTCTTGTGAGTATGAGATGTAGGATCATCTCACTGTGAAATTTCTCGGAGTGCCATCTGGATTTTTGAGAATTTTAACCCTCTGGTCGCTTTCAGTCATGCACAGGAAGTAGCTTTTGATGTGGGCTTGACACTGTTGAGAAAAAAAATCACTTAAAGATTTTACTTTAAAGAGATGAAAATGTACAGAACAAACATTTTTTTTCTTTCAGCCTTGTTGCAAACGTGTGACTTGCAATATTGTACCACAGTGAATCACTCAGGGACATTTTTCAAGATGGAAATAATCATTTAAACAGTATATTTTATGCTCAGTTCAAATAATTTCTTCCGTGACTGTTTGGGGATAAGAGGTGGGAGATGGCACAAAAGCACAGTAGTGTCCACTGTTTTGTAATTGTTCATTGGGCGTGAGAGCAGTGGTGCTGTCTTACTGCTTTATTCTGCCTCAGAGCCTTCAGGTCTTCCTGAACTTGAAACACGTCAGCCAGCTCCTGGTACTTCTCCCTCCAGCTCAGGCACTCGGCCACTCTCTCCTGCCTCTCCTTCTCAGCCAGATGCCTCTCTGCCTCGACTTCCCGCCGAGCCTGGTTAGCTCTTTTGCTCTCCTCTTCTGATTCTGTCGCTCTGCGTTTCCAGTTCATCTCACTGAGAAGGGACAGGATGAAATTGCATGCTAGAACATCATAGCCAGACTGCATCTTCATGCACCTTTAAGCTAAATCCAGTTAAATCTTTAAACCGTCTTGTCTTCAGCCTGTTGTGAAGCGTACTCTCATTCTGGTCTGCAGGATAAAAGCAATAAAGAAAATCCCTAAGACGTGAATTGAAAATGGTAAATGGACTGGTCCTTATATAGTGCTTATATATATATATAGTGCTTTTCTACTCTGAGTACTCAAAGCACTTTTGTTAACTGTGTCGTCCAGTCAGGTATTTGTTGTTTGACTCGAAGTCTGTGCAAAATAAGCACACCTGGTCTTTGGTACTGTTCCTCACACTCTTAGAAGAGTCATCTTGTGTTGTGTTCACGGGACAACACAGAGATCATGTGAAAACTATGCAGTGAAGGTAAATAAGTACACTTTTACAGACTTTCTACACTTTTACTTAGCAGAGCAGCCTCTTAAAGTCCTTTATATATTGTACAGAACGTCTTGGAGTCAAGTACGCTTCCTCTGACTTTTCTCTTAGTTTCTGTTTTCTCCTCCTCTGCCTTGCTGATGTGACTCAGCTGAATTGAATTTTCTCAGAGCTATCAACTAAAAGGCCGTTATTGTTGCACCACGAACGGTCATGGACAATGACACTGAGTTTTGGGAAATTCCCTCTGAAGATAAATGGGAAATCCAAAAAAACCCTCTAAAAACAAAAGTCAAAGTAATCACACACATATACAAACATGTTCATAGGTCTAACATCCTGATGTTAGAATTGATCTTTTCTATATTCCCAGCATTAGATTGGATTTTTAAAAAGAGCTTGTGTATTTGGTATATCACAGAGCACTGGTTGGTACAAAATGCATTTTAATCAAAAAATCTGAATAGTTGTTTTTTTTTATCACACTCAAAAAAAATCTCACTTTTTTGACAGGAAAGTAAGGAATAAAGAAGACATCTCTAACTAAGATGTTTAAATTATTTCTTCTTGGGCTCACACAGTGTACTGTTATACATAGATTTGCAACACAGTGGCACGGTGGTTAGCACTGTTGCCGCACAGCAAGAAGGTCCTGAGTTAGACCCCATCATCTGGCTGTGTGGAGTTTGCATGTTCTCCCCGTGTTTGCGTGGGTTCTCTCCGGGTACTCCGGCTTCCTCCCACCGTCCAAAGACATGCAACTTGTGGGGATAGGTTAATTGATTAATCTAAATTGCCCATAGGTGTGAATGTGAGTGCGAATGGTTGTCTGTCTCTGTGTGTTGGCCCTGCGACAGACTGGTGACCTGTCCAGGGCGTACCCCGCCTCTCGCCCTATGACAGCTGGGATAGGCCCCACAGTGCCCCCCGCGACCGTGAAAAAAGATAAGTGGAAGTGAATGGATGGATTATTGCTTCCCTCATCTACTCTTGTTAAGGCAGTACAACTTCTTATTTATGTAGAAGAAGCTAGGACTAAAGCACAACTCCTATTTTTCATTAATGATAAAAACAAAACAAAACATGAAAGCAAAAATCAGAAAAGAGAAATACTTAAAGATGATTTAGTGGGATGTAAGAAAATCAATCACAGTTGCCAGGTGTCACTAAAATGTATCTACCTCTCTTTAATTTGGACATTTTCTTGGGTGAGCTTCCTCAGCTTGTGTCGGAGGTCATCTCTGTCTGCCTCCAGGCTCCTGCTCTCCTGCAGGAGGGCCTGTTTCTCTCCAGACACCTGATCCAACTTCAGCTTACTTTCAAAGTAGTTCTTCTCTGTTTGCGCCAGTAAAAGCTGCATGTTCGCGTGCTGCAGAAAGAAAAAGCAGATGTCAAATTAAGTGTTACGGGCTTTGATTGAATGAACTAATCTTCCTGCTTGATTCAGGAAGTTCATTAACTGAGGTTAAACAAAAAAAGGAACTCAGCTGGAAAACTGCGTCTAAAAGCACTTTGAGTTATTTCGGCCCACAGAGATTGCATCTGCAGTTTGGACGATGGATTGCCATGATGACACGGGCGTCACAAACCATGTACATATCCTGGAAAGCTCCTCTTAAGGCTTTATCCTTCACTTTAACTCATTAAGCCCCAAAGTGACATCAAGGAAAATCGATGGTGTAGTCATGTCAAATATTCCCATGTTCCCAAAATAGCTAACTTTAGAATACTTGTTTTTATTGATCAAAAGTAATTTTAAATCTATTTAGGATTCCTAACTCATCATGTCCGATATTATATCACGTCAACAAACTAATGCAAAGCAAGCTAAGTGATACATCCCAACCAACACAAGATTTTTAGGACTGATAATATTTAGTTATTTAAAAATCTGATATTCTCATATATCATCCAATAGTTTTTTTTTCTTTTAAATTTACAAAACAGATTTGTCTAACAGTTGTTTTGCCCGTCTTTGCTCAGATCCGCTGGCTGTTGCGTTTTTGGTGCTCCAAACACTTTGCAGAGTGCCCTCTGGTGGTACGACTATGCAACATCAACACTCATAACATGGTTGAAGGGTGTTTCTCCAATTTCTTCCTTACTTTTTCATTTTCATTTATCTGTCATTATAATTCCCGTTACTTACAGATTGGCAAATAGCTACCTAATCAGGTTCCACTATGTGAATACTGTAAGTACTGTTTCTAGTCTTATAACAGTAACAGAAAATGCCATGTGATAACCTTTTCACAAGGTAAGAAAAGGAAAACATAAAATACTGAAAAAATATACACTTTTACTTCATTTAGCTAGAAGAGTATATATTCTATCCTATTCTTGCCCAGCTGCAGTGTTATTTATTTATTTAATAAGATAAAGAAACAATCAAAGGAATTTTTTATTTAGCTCTCGCCCTAAGACAGCTGGGATAGGCTTCAGCACCCCCCGCAACCCTGAAAAGGACAAGCGAAGTGAATGGATGGATGGAATTGTATTCAGCTTATTAGATCAGCGTTCTCTGTCATGTGTTTACCTCCTTTTTAAGCTTCTGCAGCTCTTCACTCAGACGTCCCCTGTCAGCCTCAGCTGCATCCTTGTCCCGCTGAAAGCCCAGGGACCGAGCCTCAGCCACAGCCCTGCCCTTCTCTGCCTCCGCCCTGGACTCCTCTGCTTCATCTGCAGCTCGCGAACATAACATCGACCTTTGCTGGCTCTGGTACAGCTTCTGCTTCAGCTGATTTGGGTCACACAGAGAGAGGTGAATGCGTGCTGCAGTGACATGATCGAGAAACAGTAGACGCCTGCTTTGTTTTACCAACGTAACGTGATTCTAACCCTTTGGAGTGACAAGGGTCTGCTTTAGCTGGCATGAATGGGTTAGGTTATATAGGTTAGCGGAATAATATGCATCTCCTTCATACATTCGTATAAGATGTCTTATATAAAAGTAGATCTAAGACTTCAAACACCTCAACAAGCTTTTCTGGACATAAAAATTTCATTTATAACACTTACTTTTATTTAAAGAATGCCTACTGTAAAGATCCCTCATGTTCCCTCATTGACACAATGGCAGTTCTGAAAAGGCAGTCACATTTCCTGCCACAAAGATCTCCCCCAGCATACCACAGCCACATAATCCTCTCTGTGTAGGGTCAAGCAGTACGGTTCTCCTGGTTTATGCTACACATTCAGTTGCCCATTTGTCAAAAACATGGTGAGGAATGGCTAACTGACCATAGCAGGTTTTTTTTACACATAAATTTCAAAATATAAAAAGGTCACATATTTTATTAAAGCTGTAAATTTAGTCTGACATTTAAAGCTGGCATGTAAACACTGTTTGATAGAAGCACATGCTGTTTTGCTGCTGTTTTAACATATGAATCTAACATTAATGTCCTGGAGAACAGGAAGCTGCTATAAGCCAATTGTAACTTGATGTAACTGAATTAAAGTTTTCCAACAGATGTAAAGACAAGGTTTGAAAGAAGAACATGTCTTGATTCCTTCCAAAAAGTCTGATTGACTACCATATAGGCGTGTGGTTATACTTTCGTTTTTGTGCTCATAAGTGGCCCACTGTTTCATCTCTTGGTTATTAGTGCCATTTAATAACACTGTTTGGCTGTACCTCCTTAACTTGAGCCTGTAGCTCCTGGTTCAAGTTTCTGAGGTTCCTCATGGTTAGCTCACTCTCTGTGCGCATCATAATCCGTTCCATGTGGATCTCGTTTGATAAATACTTGTTTTCTTTCTTCAGGTCCTCACATTCCTGAGAGAATTTATTAGTGACACACAGTGTGAACTAGAAGCTACGGAGCCGCCCCCCAGCACCACCACCCACCCCGAAATATACAAACTCATAAAATAATGAATTATGTCATCATGAGAAATTATGACCATTACAAGTTCTCATTATATTTACAGCATTTTTTTCACATTCATCATGCTTTTTGTTTTACGTTTTATGGTTTATGGTTCATGTCGTCTTTTTAAGATCATTTAACTGGCCTTGGAAATAATAATACGAGTGTGATCATTTTTTACGCTCGTCTGGGAAACTCTTTTCCTTCAGGTTTTCCCAGAAGGATTTAGCTTCTGAACCAAGGTCTTAGATATCTGAGAGGTCATGAGTGCACTGGCTTACACAACATGAATTATTAATATTTATCATACATTTCCTGTAAGGATGCACTTACAGTGAGGCTGGAGGATGTTAAATGTTACACCTGCTGTTATGAGTCATATGAGAACTCAGCAGTAAAATCTACAAAATAAATAAATACAAATAAAAAAGTTTCTAAAAGTTTCTAAAAGTGTGTGTTAGCTCTGTAACTGATTTTACAATTGCCTGAATATTTGAATGCTGAATCAGAGTTAATACGAATTATTTAATCTTAACGTTACATTTTGTAAAGAAAACATTCATTGTCCTTTTCTACCTTCTTACCTTCCTCTTTCTGACCAGCTCCCCCTGCAGATGATTGAGCTGGAGGAAGGAGCCATTGGAGCTGACGGCGCTGACTGGCCTGACCGCCCGCACAGGCCTCCTGGTTGGCCTGGAGAGGACTTTAACTTCTTCCGTTACCCCATCCTTGAATCGGCTGCCTCTGTTAACGTTACTGCTGCTCATGGAGAAAGATTTGTACAGGCTGTCATCTAGCGAGGACATCTGCAGATCTGTGTGCGATCTGGCCCTGATTGACATTTCAAAGAAAAAGAGAAAAAAACAAAACGACTGATGCAGTTTTGCCAAAATGTCACTGTCACCAAAGGAAAACAAGGGCTCCCGGTTTGTTGTTAGAACATAGGCCAGCAACCTGAATAAAGTTCTCAGTTTCATGTTTGGTTCACTGGGTGGATCCTATCACCAGCCCAGCTTCATTCAACATTTATTGGGCAACACGATAGCAGAAAACGCACTGAGGCAAACAGTCTCTGTGTTTTGGTAAGAGGACACTTTCTATTCCTTAAAAAGCCTTAAAATGATTAATAATTTTTATATGTGAAATTGAAAAAGTGGTGTCAATTTATTTTTATGTATTTAAAGTTTTTTCAGTTAACTAAGGACCAGTAACCATGGGTAGCATATCAGAACAACAGAAGCACACACACACACACACACACACACACACACACACACACACACACACACACACACACACACACACACACACACACCTCTATATCTATACTTGAAAGGTCACTGAGACCTATTCTTGTGATGTCAGATTTCATTTTCATGTTTTCACACTTTTTTTTTTTTTTTACTGGTTCGTGATTTTCTGACAGTCTGTAGAAGAAGATAGACACACCCAACCGAGGAAGTGTGACCACTTAACATCTTTCCTGGGCCTATCAGTGGACCAGCAGTCTATCGCTTTCCTCAGTCATTACTGCTTCAGCCTGAAGAAGGCAGGAAGCACCATTATTTACACAACAGTCACTGAGTCATTGCAGTAGGACACACTGGACTGTTTTGCTTCCTGCAGTAGAATGAAAGTGGTGATACTGCAAGTTTTAACACAACTGGGGAAAGTACTCGTCATTCTAACATGCCTTTAACTCGTGATTATGATGTGTTCAGGGTACCAAATGCCAGGTCTGATCACATGATTAGAGATTACATGAGAAAGCATGCATCGTTTTTATTGAAAGGCTAGTTTTAATAGTGCAAAAAGTTAAATGCGTCAGCTAAGTTGATAATCCATATGCAATCAATACGTAATTAATAAATAACCTTAATACTCAATACTTAATACTTAACTGAAAATGCCACACTTTGATTGTTGGGTTTTGTTGGGTCTACCTTACAATATAAAGTTCCTTGAGGAGACTGTTGTTGTGATTTGACGTTCTATAAATAAAATGGAATTGAACTGAACTTTAATCATAAAAAAATTAATGCAAAAATATTCATGAGTCCTTTCACTGAAAATCATTCAACTTTACTTTCATGATTAGATGTTCTCATCTAATCGTGAAAGTGTATTATTCAAGTGTTCATGATAAAAACCTGTGTGGATGTTTTTCTTGGGGTTTTTTGGTATTTACTAAGATAGAAACTAAACTGCAGTGAGGCGTTTCACATGATGCTCCAGGCTTAAGCATTTAGTGTGCCACTTCTTATTTTTATTATCCCAAATGATTTGATCCCAAAATTCTGTTATGTATTTTTTTGTCCACGTGGAATATACTATATAAATTACCTTGCAGAATACCATGAAGCTCTCTTGTTTATGTTACTATGCATTAACCACCAGGGAAAAAACTTACTGGTCACAAATCATAAATAACATGTGCTTCTACACATGTTTTTTGTCGCTTTGCTTTCCAGCTGTGCACCCTTCCTGAAGTTGAACATTTGTTTAAGCATCTTTTTCTTCTCAGTGTTTGCAAGTGTATATACAGTCCTCATAAAGGGACTCCTGCAGTTTGTCTCTATAATATAAAAGCCCTGTGTTAACTGTTGTCGTGGGTTGGTGCTGTATGAATAGATTAAAACTGGTTTATTTTTTCTATACTTTTTAAAATATACAACACTATATTTTTGTATACAGCACTTTTTAGTCCATTGATTGATAATTTTATTTTGAAAAAATTGTATAATATCAACATTATGTATGTATTTTGTAAGCTCTGTTAATGGAAAGGGGCTGGGGCTGATATAGTGCTACATGTTGAGTCGCTTTATGAAATGAAAAGATCAAACAAATGATTGGTCAATGCATAATCGATGTAGGACTTAAAACAATTAAAAAGTAAACAAGCACACAGCAGTTTAAACAATTGTAAATACATTTGCACCATTACTGTGAAAGACAGACTTAAATATACAAGTAGTTCAAAGATTATGTGCCATGAGTCGTGATTTTTTTTTCCTTTTTTGATCTTTGATAGGTGCCGTGAATGTGATGATTTGAAACATAATATAAACACAGAGGAAACTTGGTTATACGTATAAAATTGATTCCAATAGCAGACAGCAAGAGTGAGGACAGCAGAGGAAAAGTTGGGAGGAAATTCCTTTTCCTACAGCTTATGGAGTGCAAAAATACCTTCATCAGAGATGCTTACGAAGCAGAAAAGCTCAAACTCATACAAATAGTACAAAACAACATTTAAGAAGGCTTCTTTAACCATATCCACTTGTAAAGTTTGATTTTTTAAGAATGAATAAACTCTTCACCCAGTTGACAGTTTAGATTATTACATCCTTTTATTTGATTCTTTTATGAAACCCATATTCCTATATCTCTGCTTTGGAAATCATTAATATGTTATCACTAGTACAAGATTAGTGCTTTAAATGTCATATATGTCATGCATCTGCAATTTGATCACCCAAACAATAACGTTTAGAGAGTTACTGTGAAGGCCTTTCTCATGAGGATGCGTGTCCTATCTCCTAACAGGCCATAAAGCAGATTTGACCTTGTTTTTCCTGTTTCCTCTTCTCTTCCCTGTCACATTTGTTCTTGGGCTTCTCCCTCTGCTTCAGTTTATTTGATCCTCCACCCTCATCCACGTTGGGTATACTTTGTCATACAAGACATGGCAAGACTTTGTTGTTTGCCATCAGTATTACCTGTGATGTTTGCCCTGTTTTTACAAACCTGCGAATCCACTTTAAATAGAGGTAAGGTTTTTGTATGTTTATTTCTTCATTCACTTTTAGATTTAATCCTGGGATATCCCACAAGTCTAGCGTTTCAAATTCTAAAATTTCATAGTTGTTAAGAAGTTTAACTCGTGTTTTTGAAATGTCTTTTAAGACTGCCATCAGATTTTATTGTTAAGAAGACGAAGATGTTTGGCTCCTTCTGTGATATTAAACTTTAATATATTAGCAAAAGATTAAAAAAATGATTTTTTAAATGTTTTTCTGAGTATTCTTTGTCGCACACGGAGTGTGTGTGTGTGTGTGTGTGTGTGTGCGCTCATATTATGGTTTATTTCTTTGTAAAGTAGATGTACACACTGTGGTTACCTGTATATTGATATGTATACTTTACATCATAAGTAACAGATCATAAGGCTTTTCACAGGACAGTCAGTTCTTCTTTTACATCCATCCATCTTTTCAATGTAATTTATTTACAAAGAAAATTCGCTTTAAAATTTTTTTGTTAGTAATTTCTGAGAGTTACAGAGCCACTGGAGTCTTCCTGCTTATTGAAGGAGGAACCTACTACACCTTGAACTTCACAGCTGCCAGAGATGCCTGTCTTTCACTAAATGTCACCATGGCGACGGAATATCAGATATCAAAAGCAGTCACACATGGACTGGAAACGTGCAAGTAAGCAGAAAGCATTTAACTAGGGTTTAATACATGTTGACCCATATGCATTTTTCATATTAATAAATCATGCACAAAAACAGGCGACTAACTCGAATGCGTTTCCCAGTAATAACATAAAAATATTTTAGAAAACACAACTAACTTTCCCAAATACACAAGATCGATGTATTGCATAAGCACTTGGGTCCATATATATTTGGTTAGTGGCACTTTTTTTGGGGTAATTTCGCCTTCTTACACCATCACACTTTAAATTAAACCAAAGATTATTTAAATCAAGGAGTTTAACATTTGCATTCCCTGTTTAGAAATTACACACAATCCCTGATTTTCTGTGGCTCAAAACTAATTGGACAGACTGACCTAATTTTAACCATAATGATTGTTGTTTAATATGTGGATAAAAACCATTACTATATTACTGTGACTATTTTAACAGATATGGCTGGATAGCTGAACAGATTGCCGTCATCCCACGAATTTCCCCTAAACAAAACTGTGGCCAGGGCAATATCGGGGTAGTGTCATGGAAGACATCAGCAGATAAAAAGTTTGGCGTCTTCTGCTTCAATGCATCCGGTATTACTTATTTTCTTAGTTTATGAGACTAATATACGCCATAAACGTCAATTCATCCATCACAGATGTCAAATGCCTAATGCCAAGACCAAAGTGTCTGAGTGGCACATAACAATGTAATGACATGATCAGTGTGATTGTGACCCGCAAGTGGTTTTCATGTTGTGCCTAATTACTGCCTGTAATTACAGCCATCTGATCACTTAAATAGAACTGAACCATTGATTTTCTCAGCATTAACAGATTTGGAGACAACAGCCAGCCCACAATCCCCCACATCTCCAACTCCACTGACAACTCAAACCACACATTTGGTCACATCAACAACAAAGTCCATGTCCTCAACAAAAAAGTCAATAACAGGAAAATCTCAGCCGACACTTCAGCCCACACCCTCAACTTCAGCTTCTGATGTACTTGTCAAGACATCGCGGTCAGCAAGGATTTCTTCCTCTGCCACCCCTTCTTTTAAAACGTTCTCAACCCATATTCCTGTTTCCTTGCCTCCGATTACCACTCTGAACCCCCCTGGTACCACTTTTACCTTTTCTGCTTCCACTCATGCCTTCAGTTTCCCACCTTCCTCTGAGTCGGTGCTGCCACAGACTGAGAGCTCCACAAAACCATCTCTAGGAGGTATGTTCTGCAATATCTTTTTTCATTGTTTGATTTTGCTAACATCATTTCAGCAAAAAGAAACCCAAACATTTGGATAAATGATTTTAATCAAATTAACTTATTTACTTGTTTTCTTTTGTTGTTGTTTTTCTTTATCAGCTTTACATGTAACAGTTATTGTTCTTGGCATCATTCTTCTGCTCCTGACTGCAGCAAGTGCTATGTGGTACTTTCAAGTGTGAGTAATGTTTTCAGATGATCTGCACGGCTTAAAGCACTTAAGGAACAACTTTTGTTTCTTTGTTTGCAATAATGTGGTGTAATCCACGTATGTTGTCTTTTATTAAAAACACTTTTCTCTGTCTTTTTGGAAAAGGAATGTTTTCAGGTGCTTGTCTCACTGGCAGCAGATGGATAACATCGAGACAGAGATGTGGAATTTTACTGATAATGATATGAACCAACTCGGCCAGTATGGACCGCAAGGAGATGATGATGATGACGATGAAGAAGAATCAGACCACAAGTACTCCAGTGATATCACTCTGTGTGTGAGATCAGACATCAAAGCAAACTCTTCAGAGTAATATGACCATTTTGTGCAAGTTTTTGTAGACACAGCTGTGTTGTCTGATAAAAAACAAGATTAGAAGATCATTTACGTCATAAACTCTTCGGTTGATTGTTGTACTCATAAAAATCCTTTATACAGCCTGATGCAGGACTCTTCTGGCTACAGACAACTGACTCTGGCTCTATGTTTAGACTTGCTGTCATATACACATGAATGAAGGTGGAAGCCAACATATGCTTCGCTCCTAGTGGTGGAGAAAAAACAACACAAATATGTAACTGACACAGACCATATTGTAAAATAATATTGAAAATATACAATAATAATAGTGTGACCTATATTTCTGTATTACAGACAACCGATACTAACAAACAAGCTTTCAAAGTAATACTATTATTACTTTTATTATGAAAATAAATTGTGTTAATGTTATTTACAAGTGTCTTCTACCCCCAAACACATATACACACACATAGACATATGCATATCTAGATTTAGCACAAAAAGTCAGGTAATTTGTGTTTGGGCAAATATTTCTTTGTAACTTTGCATCTTGGCAATAAATACTGTTGCAAAGCCTGTTTATTTCCTCTTAAAGGGCGCCATTTAATTCCCAAAGAAATGCATGTGTGGATTGTGCAGCAGAGACGAGTATGAACAACTTACCAAATCTTCTCTGCCAATCGAGTAAAAGTACATTTATTTGCATTTATTTCACGTAAAATAGCAAAAAATATATACTTCCAAATACACATGGGTACATGTTGTTACCAACGCAGCAACATGGCGGCGGTAATGAGTCGTTTCGGTATTTACTCACCGACATAAAACCAGCGAAGAAGACGACAACTCCAGAGCCAAACCGTTGTTGATTTTTTTTTTTTTGCTTTGCTCATCCATGTTTGTAAACGTTAAGTTACAGCTTTGGTAGAAAGCACACGAAATGAGACGCCTGGGTTCCGTACAGCAGAAGATACCGTGTGTGTTTCTGACAGACGTGATGGAAGAACAGTCCAGAAAACGCGACTGTCAGGTGAATGCATCTGCAGACACATTATCAGGCGCAGTAGGTTTATTATGGGTATCTCTTGCTGCTACAGTTGTTAGCACGGAGAAGCACCCGTCGTGAACAAGTTCTTAGTCGTGTCTTTTTTATCTTTTACTGGAAATGAAATGTAAGCAGAGTAAATGTCTGAGCCAGAGCAGGGGGAGGTGGCTAACTGTTGTCCTTTCGCCTGTAGCACGAGGACACACCTCAGGTCTTCCTCGGCAGAGGACCACACTGATTTGCATAATGTAGACAACAGGTTGAACAAATTAACTGACACATGGTCGTCGTGACAAATAGTTGTGCAGCTGGTTTCAACAGCAGAGAAATTTCTGTCTGATTTATTTATTTATTTATTGTAAATGTGGTGCAATCTGGCATCAAACAGTTATTTGCTGTGCCAACTTTCCAGTTTTTAACAGTGAGTCGAGTAGAGCCAGTGCTGTGTGATGAATAGAGTAGAGCAAATACCTGCATGGCTGAATGAAGGGTTTTTCCTACTTACTCAAGCTTTACCAAAGCACCAAAATCTTCTTTGTCAGGTAACACACAGACATATGCAGACCACTCTTGCAGGCTTAGTCACTGCAAGTCTGGAAAAAACAAACAAACAAACTCTGGAATGAAGAAAATTTTGGCCGGGCTACTTGAAAGCAGAAGAACGTGCCAGTTAAAAGACTTATGGACATTTCAGCTCTATCGTTAAGGGCATGGAAGAACCTGACATTAAATTAATGTTTCATAACATGTAAGACTGAGAGCATCTTTACATAATTCAAATGTAGGCTAAACCTAACTGCAAGTTTCATATAAGGAAGTGCAAATAGATGGCCTGTTTCAGGATTGTAGTCAGTGAGACTTGTAGAACATTAAAACCCTACAGGAAAAAAATCAATGAATAAAGTTGTTTCTGAGAATTGATATTAATTACTGATGCTCATTACCGAAAGACTTTAGACACAGTTACTATTCACTCACTGAGCTCTGAGGGATCTTGTAGAGGCATTACTATCTGATGTTAATATACACAGCTCAAAGGAGAGATCTGCAGGTGTCAGGATAGAACTACATATAACAGGAAAAGTCTGTTTTCACACATTAGCTGTTTACCCTTAAGTTAAATCGTTGCAAAGAATTATTTCAGTCATTTTCCTAGATAATCAGTAACTTAATACTATCATTTTCTTTATTCATTTTTTAGCGGTTGTTTAGTTTTTCTTTTAGAACCCTACCACAGGGGGGCCACAAGCCGATGTAGTGCTAGTGCCGTTCTCAACCCAGCAGAAATGGGGAGGGTTGTGTCAGGAAGGGCATCTGGTGTAAATCAACCATGTGAATCATCAAGAATGAGATTTCCATAGCAGATCAGTTGAGGCCTGGGTTAAGAACGACCGCCTACGGTGCTGTTGGCCAACAGGGTGTGGATGGAAGTTGTGCTGCTGCTGGCCAAAGAGGAAAGTTGGAAGGCATGTTCGAAGACAGAGAGAAGGATGGAGCCAGGGAAGAAAAGGGGACGGCCAGAGTGAAGAAGGCCATGCAGAGGATTTATGTGGTAGAGGAGGATGCTTGAAATGGAGGCAGAAGATGAAAAAGTGTTGTTAGTGTCTTTTAGGATGCTAGCTGGCCCCCCAGATTTTTCTCCACAGCGATACATCAAACAACATCCATCCATAGGTCTCCAGCCTGTCCAAGGCCCAAACAACATAGAAATGACTTGATTTGTTCAGAATGGTTACCCTATTGATGGAACAGAAATATAATTACCACCATATTACTTTATGGCTGTGTTTACCATCCTTTTGGAGCTACGGCACATATTTCACATTAGAAAAATCACATGGCACACCACCAAACAAAAATGTCACAAAAAGCATATTGATCATTTTTCCTGTGCACCAGGTACAGCAGAACCACTACTCATGCTAGAGCCTTCATCTGGGTCAGATTGGCTACTTTTTCTTTTCAGATATTTATCTATTGCTATGATGTGCTGCGTCGTCTCACAGCATGACTTTTTAATTTCTTCTTCATCATCTTCTGTTTTCCCGGCAGTTGGCAACCTATTTAATTAAAGCAGGTAGCTGTACTGCTCTCTAGTGGAAGAGATTGTAATTGTTCTGCCCGTTACTCACGCCGGTCCTCAACCTTTTTTGCGCCACGGACCGGTTTAATGTCAGACAATATTTTCATGGAGCGGCCTTTAAGGTGTCTCAGATAAACACAGCAAAATAAAATGAAACAACCAAGACAAAAACAATGATATTTTGTAATCATAATAATAAACGCAAATTCATTGTGTAATTGTGTAACTTTATTAGCAGCGTCCTCGTGAAATACGCCAGCAACATTGAGAGTAACATCCTCCTCTCTGCCCCTTAATGCTCTCTGGTCACTATGGTAACGTGTAAATGTTTCTTTCAAAATAAGACACACAACTACAACACGGGAAAAGACCCAGGATAACCGAGTTAACGATAAAACCCCGGAAAACCATAAATTTCACACCCAAGCCTCAACATGCCATATCCACTTATCCACTTGATATAAGGCTAACTGGCAAACTGTAATGTTTTTCAAATTTTTTTCCCCTCTCTGATTTTTAAATGCATGTGCCTTAAAACCACCAGGTGCAAGAGTTCCCTGCAGAGCCTGGGATTAAAGTTTGTGGCTCTTGGAGGCCTGTTTCCTTTGCACAGGTTTTCTCTGAATTAGCTGGAGCAACCTGGAGCAACCAGCTAATTCATGTCATATGTGCCGTGAGCACATTGGCATTCGTTCAAACTCTACACCACTTGAAGATAATTTTGCTTTCAGTGGAGTGATAGATTTCAAATAAGTGTTTTTGAATCATTTGCCAAACTGATATACTTCATCCATCCATCTAGAGCTGTAGAGAACGCTTTAATCTTGGCATAATGATGACACTTTATACTGATGATCATGAGCCTCATATCACTGGCACCTCATTTGTATCTCCTTAATGTTATGTTTTTATGTTGTGATAAATGTAGTCTTGTAGTCATGTGTGTTTTTTGAAAATAGCCAGAAACTGAAACGTCATTTGTTTGAATCAGCACCTGTTAATAGATATATAGGATATATACTTTAAGAGAATCGCTTTTCATGGGATTCACTTATATTTCATGTAATTGATTCCCTGGTTGCTAAAACTTTGCAGTCATGAAATTATTCTCAAATTGCATTAGATGAATTGTGCAGCTGATTCAGTGTCAGTACAGTCATGTAGTCTGTTGTTGGTTCTTTAATCAAGCCCAAACTTATAATTGAAAAGTGGTGGTTTATAATGTGGGGCTTCTGTTTGATGCTATATAATATGTAGATAACTGATTTATGCATTCATGGTACCGTTACTAATGTTGGGTATAGTCACTTTCATTTATATCTTGCACTGATCAAACATGGTTTTGCTTCTCTTTAGCAATTTCAGGTTGTTGCCACAGAAAATGTGAACCCTGTTGCTCTGCAGGCTAACATACATAGTGCGCTTGCCACTGAAAAACTTGATGGCACCTGTTGCTATGTTACAGTTTATAAAGGTGAGAAGATCTCAGAATAACACTGATCATTTCCTAGTCAGCATCTACAAACTGCTACTACTTTGTAGTTTTCTAAGTGGAATTGATCTGTTTTCTTCAGGGCAGCCTTACCTGTGGGCTCGACTTGACAGAAGACCAAACAAACAAACAGAGAAGAGGTTTAAAAAGTACCAACATTCTCACAAAAGTTGTAAAGGTAGATTAACTTTGTCAAAAACAGTTCCCCCAAGATTTTTGAACACGTTTTCTTTTTGGTAATATTGCTTCTACACATCACCACAGTGGGTTTTTAGTGACTGAAGCAGATTCTGAGCCTCAATTCAAAGGGTTTAATAACAGTATTACTTAAAAATCCACTGTATTGGTATACACAAGCATAATTACCAGAAACCTATGGGGCTAATTGTGATAATATTGAGTGTGGACCAAAAAAGAAAAGGCCTGGAAAATGTTAATACATAACACATTTAGCAGTGGGGAAGGGTTTTATTTTTCCAGGCTTTCTTTCAGGTTTCACGTGGAACATAGAGGAAGATTTTAAACCGGTGCCAGAAACATGGATCCCAGCTCATGGAGTCAAACATCACAGCGGCCGTCCAGTGCCCGATGAACATGGACATATTCCAGGTTCTTAGTTCTCATTTTAGTACGTGTGCAGTGAATTCACCTATGTCTATGTAAAAGAGTTTATGTAGAAAAATGGGGGTAAGTGTCAAAGTGATGATAAGCAGCAAGTATCGTCCTTCACATGGAAACCATCAGCATGACGAGTACTTTTCTTTGTTGTTATAAATATGTAGGCTGGGTTCCAGTGGAGAGAGACAACAAGCAGTACTGCTGGCACTCCTCTGTGGTGGATTACAACGTTGGGCTTGCTCTTGTTCTCAGGCCTCGACGTGACAACGAAGACATGTTAGAAATCACATCAGTCCCATTAGCTGAGCTCCAGGAACAAACACTGGAGCTTATTGGAACCAATGTCAATGGAAACCCCTATGGTAATAGAAACTACATTCATTTTTTTTTATATATAAGCTGTGGTTAGGAATTAGGAATTAATTATGTTGTTATGTTAATAAATGATTAAGATTAATTAACTTCATTGGGTGATTGATTTAAAAGAAAAACTGAAGTAAACCAAGGTTCATTAATATTGTACAAACAGGGCTGGGCAGCAAAAAACAGCCTGTCCACTGCCTGGTTACACATGGGAGTGTCCCAATCAGAAACCCACCACCTGTGGACTTCCAGCAGCTGTGCTCCTGGTTTCATGAGAATCCAGACGGTCGAGTTGAGGGCATAGTCTGGCACTGCAGTGACGGCACTCTCATCAAGGTGGGATAATATATATATATATATTATTCAGTACATAAAATATATTTAAGTATCTGTATTAAAAGACTGAGCTGCCATAAGCAGTTTACAGGGAGCAATGCTGTCATGCTTCAGTGTTCTAAATAGTGTGAAATCAGGCACCAAGCTCTTCTGTGTGTGTTGTTAGGTCCATCGTCATCACCTGGGACTGAAGTGGCCAGAAGCGAACACTTGCCTTGGTAACAAGCCGACGGCCATCCGTGTTGACGCTTATGGCAGCACGGAGTTGTTTACATCGTTTGTAGCACTAAATGGACACTGCTTCAGCCGGCTTCAGGACATTCACTTTGAGCTATAAGTCCATGCGGTCTTGTGAGGATCTGCCGCTTCGCTGATAGATCCCTGATATTTCATCTGTAATTCCATGCGAGTGATTTACAATCCTATACTCATATAGATTAATTTATTCCACAGAAACCAGTTAAGAACTGCTGCTTTTTGAATTCATGAAAGTCTTAAGAGTAGCTTACAGTGAGTGAGCTGTTAGTGGAAGAAATAAGGAGAAAACTGACTGCCAAAGTTTAACGTTTGGCACCCAAAAGAAACGGTGGAGTGAATCAAAACTTAAGATGGTTTTTGCAGAGATGTGTACTGCTTTAATGTAAAAATAACTGACCAACTTGGCTTTTTTTTTTTTTTTTGGGATACAGTATATATAAAGTTATTAAAGGGAACCCCGGCTATTAAGACATGTTTGCGCTAAAATATGTACTGTGCTTTCAATAACACATGTGGTATTAAAATACGCCAAATGTTTTCCTTTTAAGCACATTTTATATAAAACTGATTTACCAGTAGGCCGCCATTGTTATTTACTTCTCAATGTACTCTGGGTAGTGACGTCACACGATTGCACCGCATTGAGTTCACAGCAGCGCACTGGAACTGGCTTCAGTTCAACGTTTCCAGTTTGAACCAGAACAATCCGAGAGAGAGAATGAAAATAGTCAACCAGCACTTATTTTAGATGAAGATGAAAACAATCCGTCACACGAGGACGCGAGAGTGAGGGAAAACTACTGGTGTCTGTGCGGTTACTGCTTGCCCGTGCCAATCGTAATTTCACTGTATAATAAAAATTTGAATTCTATTAATGTTTTTATCATGCGGTTATGCGATGCCATGGATAGCTGCTGCCATAAAACTGAGCTCTTTACAACAAACGCTCTCAGTAGCCGCACAGACACCAGTAATATGTCTGTGAAGGTTCTCAGTCATCCAGGTCATCGTAGTCTAAGGAGCTTGGAAAGAAAAGCGTCTGGACTTCTTTAAGTTGCTTGAAGACGTTTCACCTCTCATCCGAGAAGCTTCTTCAGTTCTAAGGGTCAAATGGTGGAGAGTTTATATCCCAGTGGGACTCTCCACCATTTGACCTTAGAACTGAAGAAGCTTCTCGGATGAGAGGTGAAACGTCTTCAAGCAACTTAAAGAAGTCCAGACGCTTTTCTTTGCAAGCAGTCCTTGACAGACACCAGTAGTTTTCCCTCACTCTCGCGTCCTCGTGTGACGGATTGTTTTCATCTTCATCTAAAATAAGTGCTGGTTGACTATTTTCATTCTCTCTCTCTCGGATTGTTCTGGTTCAAACTGGAAACGTTGAACTGAAGCCAGTTCCAGTGCGCTGCTAGTGAACTCAATGCGGTGCAATCGTGTGACGTCACTACCCAGAGTACATTGAGAAGTAAATAACAATGGCGGCCTACTGGTAAATCAGTTTTATATAAAATGTGCTTAAAAGGAAAACATTTGGCATATTTTAATACCACATGTTATTGAAAGCACAGTGCATATTTTAGCGCAAACATGTCTTAATAGCCGGGGTTCCCTTTAAAAATGACCACTTTATATATACTGTATCCCAAAACTCATCTGTTGCTAAGTGAAGAATGAATGAATAAATATTAACATTTTATTCAACAATTTTTTATTTGACAGAATACAAAAGTGACTTACAGTACACAGAAAAAAACTTTCATGTTACGTACAAATTTACAGTCTCACACCAATAAGTTAGTATTCACATATTAACACAAAAATATTGTGTCATTTCATTGTTAAAAGGAAACTCCTTCCTCAAAATTTCCAAGGAATGTGACTGTAAAAGCATGACTTACATACCACACATTAAGTGATAGACACACTGGGCACTTCTGCCTTTACCCCAAATTGTTGACACACTTTTTTCAGCTGCTCCTCCAACAGAACATTTTTCTTCACCTCTAAGTTGTAGTTATATTTCAGGTCTTCGATTTCATCAAAAAATGCTGGGTCAAAGTTCTCCAGTTCTTTTTTCAGCTTCGTGACCTCAGCTTGAAGTTTGGTTTTTTCAGTTTCGGCTGCCTGCAGAAGTTTTTTGAGTTTCCCATAATCTATGGACACAAGAAGAGAAACCATCATGATTCTTCCTTAGACAGTACTGTACCTCATACCTATCAAGGTGTTTGTTAAGACGGCACATATATAAAAAAAAACAAAGTCCCAACCTCCCTCAGATTCACGCTGACAAAACAGTGTAGCTGGAAGACTCGCCTAGTTTAGATGTCGTCTCGCCGTATCGTTCACTGTATTCTTGCATCCTTCGTTTCATTTCTTCATTCTCTTTTCCCAGCTGAGTGCTGGCCAGTCTTCACATACATGACATGTAGAGTTTAGTCAAAAGCAAAATGTAAAGTTGAATGTTTCAGACAAAGGAAAAAACATTTTTTTCATGCGAAGTTTAACGTACCGGATTTCCTGGAAGGCCTTGCTGCTTCCTGCATCACCTTTTCCAGCAGCAGGAAAGGTTTTTAACACGTCAGCCTAAGAATGACAAACTGATAGTATCAATCAAATACAGCACCTAAAAAGACAAAACATTTTGTCACAGACATAACCGTGTTACATCATAGATTTTGTCATCTCTTTTTTCCACAGAAAAAAGAACGATAACTACTAAAAACTAAAGCTTCTCTTGAAAACACGACAAAATGTCCACAGAAAATGTCAAGGAAAATAAGACTTGTTATGAACTGTGGAGCAACTCTAAAAACACAAACTTTTACACTTTATATTTTATTTCACTGAATCAACTTTAGATTTCATGTACTATAATCTTATGACATGAAGTCGAATAAAACTAAAAGAATTTATTAAAACTAAATGATGCTTTTGTCAAAATACGACTAAAACTAAAAAAAAAATAATAATAATTTGCTGTTCAAATTAACTTAACCCTCTACTGCATAGCGTTGCCCTGAGGCAACAAACCACATTTTCATCCTTTACACTGGCCCTTCAAATAATGCTACCAGGCACATCTCTTTCCAGGCAGTTAGCCCAATTTTTTTCAGGTAATATAATGCATTTGCATATGTGTGTAGAGATGTGTTTGTGTGCATTTATATGATCATAGTCAATGTTTTTTACTTCACAATCTACTCATAATTACAGGACATGGATGTAAATACCTTTTATGGAAGGAAACCAAGGGAATGTGCACTTTCTGTCCTCAGAAAGTGAGGACAGTGAGCTTTCAGGGAGTGACAGTGAAGTAGAGTGGATGCCTGAATGAGGTTTGAGGGACACTTAGGAGCTCAGGGGTCAGTTGGTAAAGTAACTGTGTCTGTGTGTTAGTGTGTGTGGTCGTGTATTATTTATTGTTGTGGGGACACAAATTTGTTTACACACTCACATTGTGAGGTCTCGCCTACTTTATGGGGACAAATTGCAAGGTAAATCATTATATTTTAGGGTGAAGGCTTGAGTCAGGGTTAGGGTAAAGTTCAGGCAGGGACTTGTGATGGTTAGGGTCAGGATAAGTCTCCAGGAAATTAATGTAAGTTAATTTAAGGTCCCCAAAAGTGATGGAGAAACAACATGTGTGTGTGCGCACATGCGTGCATGGGGTTAGGGTCAAATGTTGGATGTATTTTGGTGTTTTATTGTTCTGTGAAATGTTTACATAGTTTATTTGTTGTTTATTTATTTGTTCATCCTTGTTGTACTAATGCAACTTATTATAGAATAACTTGGCGTTTTACTACCCTTGTCGCACAGTGTTGCCTTGAAGCAACAAACCAATATCTGTTTGGGGGGGGGCAAGGTGTCAAATTTTATGATTGATATATTAGTAGGGACCCTAAAGCTCCCCAAAAATTAAAAAGTCATGCAGTAGAGGGATAAGATGCTGGATTAAAAACAGCCTGGGTAATAACAAGAAGTTTGAAAAATGGACATTTTTGGTCAGTATCTGCTTACCAAAGATTGTCATGACTTCTAGATTCAGCACTATCTTAAATAACAGGAACACATTTTAAAGTTTTTGCCACCTGATCCTCGAGTTGTCGTATTGTTATCTGAGCTCTCTCCTCCCGCTCTGTCATCTCTTTCAGCTGTTGTTTGAGTTCAGACAGTCGGATGTTCTTTTGGGAGAGTTCCTTCTCCAGCTCCTTCATCTTGTTCTCAAACATCCTGCACAAATAGAAGTCAAATGACCATCAGATCTCAAATTGTGTCCAAAGTAAATAAACATGCTGTTTGTTAATATTGTCTTATTAAAGCTTGAGCATGAGACTGACGTAAATGAGCAGCCTTTATTACCAAAGAGTTTGCATAATGTTGACTAAGCCTGTTAGCGACAGTCTATTTCGCAGCATACCAGAGTTTGAATCCCATGGGCATGATAATGATTGTGCATTTAAGTCACACGCTGCTGATTTAACCTGCTGCACAACCCTAAAGCTTACAAATTACTTTTAAGTGCCCTTTTCTGGAAGACTATTGGTTTTGTTGACCTGGTTACCACAGATGACTTCATGGTCTTAGTGTCCACCCCCTCTGTGATGGGCCTGGACAGAGCTTCCCTCAGTCTTTGCTTGATGTCTTCCAGCTCTGCCTCAAGCTTCTCATTTGTCACTTCTAGTGTCATCTTGGTCACTCTCAGCCTCTCTGCAGCCTCCATTTCCTTTTACAGTGACACACATTTTCAAGCATAGCCAAGAGACAAAAACAAGCATTTAGACTTTTTTGATTGTGTTTTTTTTTTTTTTTTTGGAATAATTAATTCTGCCCCAACCCAACTTCATTAAAATGAACTTATAATAAGTCATAGAAGACGTTACCCTTTTAATCTCCTTTCGAAGACGTTCATTTTCAATCACTATTTTCTCCAGTCCTTTGGTTTTGGATTCAAGTTTGGAATTCAGCTCAGTTTCAGCCTCACGCTTCAGTGTTTCAAAGTCGGCCTGGAAAACAGCGCTTACTGTAAGCTGCAGTCACGGAACAGAGATGCTAAATAAACCTTCCCAAAATAACGTTTGTGATGTGTAAGGTGAGACAGGCGTTGGCAACCTTTAGCTTAATATTTTCTTTCTCCAGGGCAGTGACTTTGTCTTGATTCACAGTGGCGCTGGATTTCTTCAGTGCTTCATTTTCCCGCTGCACCCTCTCCACCACCTTCTTCATCAATCCAATCGTCTTCTCGAGCTCAGGCACCGTTTTACCACTGTGACCACCCTGATGAGGATCACAGAATAAATCACGTATTAGATCAGAACTAGTTCATTTTTTTGTAAACTGTGTTTCAAGGTGATTCTGTTTTAATTCCTATGTACAGATTTATTTTCAATTGTTTTAAAGATCGTGTAGGCAAAGAAAAAAAA